TAGTAGAGACAGGTTTTCACCATGTTGGCCAGGCTGGTCTTGAACTCCTGACCTCAGGTGATCCACCCGCCTCGGCCTCCCAAAGTGCTGGGACTACAGGCGTGAGCCACTGTGCCTGGCCTATTCTTGATAGTTTTGATGTCATAAAATGTTAAAAGAACGTGTGTTACTTCTGTCATTAGAAACAGGAACGGAGTCACTACAGAGCCCACCGGGACTCCGGGCGCACGGCATAGGAGCTTCCCAGATTCATGTAGATTCTTCCCAGATTCATGTAGATAAGCACAACTCTACCACTTACGTATCTTGCGTTTGTTCCCGGAACTGTGAGAAAGAGATTCCCTCCAGAGCGGCCCAGGTGTCCTCAGGCTGGCTCCAGGCGTCCTTGTGCCGCGGAGCCAGTTCCATACAGCAGTGCAGGACAGGCAGGATGCCCAGCCAGTGGTACATACTTTTGTCCATGCACCTTTGGCACAGGTTCACCAGGTACAGCCGCCAGCTGGAAGGCAATAAAGATCCCGCAGTGAGCTGAGTTGGCCAGGGAGTTGTCTCCCTGGGGGTCTGGAGTCCCAAAGGTGAGCAAACACCACGCACACAGAGCAGGAGGAGCAACGCACATGGCAGAGCAGAGTTTAACTCGCGCAGGAGCCACAGAGTAACTCGCACAGGAGACACGGCTTCCCTCAGCCCCCAGCCTAGGGCGTCAGGTCCTTCGCGGGCCCTCGCCGAATCCCCACAACAAACTCCCAGGACGGGGAGTGATCTCAGAGGCACAGGTCCTGGCTAAGTAGTCAACGCGGGGTCCTGCCTGACAGAGCCAGGATTTGAACCCAGGCCATCTGGCAACAGTAAATCTAAATATAAAGCAACTTGTAAAATTTATTTTCATTGTTTAGAGACAGTCTCACTCTGTCATCAAGGCAGTGTGGTGGTGCGATCGTTACAACCTCGAACTCCTGGGCTTGTGGGATCCTCCTGCCTCAGTCTCTCAGGTGCTGGAATTACAGGTGCACCACCACACCCAGCTACTTTTTTTTTCTTTT